TAGAATGGAGCTATACAAGTACGGTCCATTTACATTTACATTTTTGCATTTTTACATGCCACTAAATCCTACACACTGGACCTTTAAGCTGCCCTAGTTAGCTAGCTAGCTAGGTAGGTAGCATGTAGCCTTGTTAAACTGAATAAATGGAGATTTGTTTCGTGTGTATTTGCAGCAGCCACTAGTTGGTCGATTCCTTTTATGTTGAGGATATTGTTTTCAACTGGAGCTAACTGGTCAAGACTTAGTAGCAGCCCTGCTAATTGAGGCAGGGGGGATGCGATTGGCTGTCTGACTGGTGACAACTCCACTGTTAAAAAAAAGTGACTTTATGAAAGAAAATGTGTTATTTTTTATATTGCAATGTATTTTGCAATTGTTCTTACATAATGGCTTAATTATTTATTTGGTATTGACCAATCTGGAGTTCCAAAGTTATGCAATCTTTATAATCCTTTTTCATTTTAATTCTCACAGATAGACACACAAATGATCAATCAAAGCAACCAGATTTCATACTGTGTATGAAATGTTTTACATTTGTTTTGTACAGACAACAAGAATCCAGCAGGTGGAGCCATTTACTAACTTTGTACAGCTTCTACTTCTACTAACTGTCTTACAAAAATGATTCAAATCAATGGGTAATATATATCAAATGTGCCTAAACTACACAGAAAAACTTTATGATGTTACAGTGCAATGTTATAGTAGAATATGTATATAGAAGCCAGAGCTAACATGTCTGGCTTGTAATGCTTCACTTTTCACAGAAGGTGATGCTGTTGTCTTCAGTAATGAAGAATACCATCGACCAAACATGGTTGTTTACAGGAGAATGGACAAATTGAAGAAGTATTCAGATTCAGAACACATAGCAAAATCACATTACAAACAGAGGTCCTGTCCTGAGCTTAAAATGTTACTGAAGTAAAACTGTAAATTGAAAGTATTGTAAGAGAATACCTAAAATATGAAGCTCCTATGGTCAGTAATATTACTGACTTTACTTCATATTCTTGGTGTATACAGTAAGCTCATCACTGTTTCTTTATGTTTAAATGTAATCTGCAGAGTATAGGTAACTGTCAGATATTGTACATGTAGCAAAAGAAACAAGTACAATATTTAGATGAAATGTAGTGGAGTCTGACTATGAAGTAGCATTAAATAGAAATACTAAAATACTGTGTAAGCACCTCAAAATTGTACTTGAGTACAGCACTTTAGTGAAGTACTTGGTTAGTCCCCCACCCCTGCAAATTTGTATATAAAGATATAGAAACAATTAACTGGTGTATTACCAGAATCCGCATGTATTAATGTTTTTCTTCATGGATTAAAGATTATAAAGGTTAACTGCTTAATATACTGTAATTACTGTACATCACTACATTTTTGTTTTGTTATTTTAATACAATTAGAACCAGACACCTAAACACAGATTTGATTGTTTATTAAGTTAAACATAATCTTCAGTAATATTTGTTGATGATAATGTGTAACAAGCCTAGATTTTAAATCATGATGAAAAAGAAGAAATATTTTTTTTTATTTTTTCATAAATAATTCAAGCACTCCTATAATGTGTATGAGCACACCGGAAGTTTATATTTAAGGTCACCCATAAAAACCCAGTTATCATATGGTTTGTTATATTCAAACGAGTAGATTCTCTCCTTTCAATGGAACCTATTTTAAACTATACCAGTGGTGTCAAAAAACAGAAAAGCAACAGTAGACCACAACCAGACCTTGACCCAGTATTCCAGCGTCATGTACTGTATGCAATACAGGAGCACTACATGTCCTAGATTGCTATCTGTAATTATGAGCAGGACAACAGGCACACTGAAGGTTAATGAGAGTGGTGTGAGGGTTCTGTACATACACAGGCAAGGGAAAGAGAGCAGCATGTAACTGGTGCTCCCACCAGGCCATGCAGACATTTTGAACGCGGGCCAGTAGCTACATGACAGTAAATCTGCCGGGACCAATAGTGTCAGAATAAATGAGTGCTGCATATCATCGATAGGGCGGTGTTGGACCAGATGGGAATAATATCATGAGAGAGCATTGAGTTGATGCAATTTAGAACAAGCTACTGAACACAACTCATCGAGCTGGTGCACATGAAGACGTGAAGACACTGAAATGAAGACAATGGAGGAAAACAGATTTTTATCTTTTAATACTGTTAATAAATTATACATTTGACACTTTATTTCTTTCACTGTCGAATGTATGTTCATCAGAAAGACCAGAAGACACTTTGTTTTGCTGTAAAACATTTAAAGATGGATTTAAAGTTTTTATTCTCTTGTGTTTAGATTGTGTATAAATCAGTGCACAAAGCAGCTTGAAATGTGGGACGCTCTCCCCTCCAACCTGTATGTCATGCTATATGTGTCACTTATATAGCTTATACCACTTTGCTCATGACACACGCTTAGAGTTACCACTCACTCACATGCCTTGCATTTGCTCATCCAGATACATCACATCCAGATACAAACATGGCGCTCTTAGTGTGATTATTCTTGGATCATGGTCTCCAGTTATGTTTTCTTTGCTCCACGATGGATGTTTGTCGTATAGGTTTAACTGTCGAGCTTACGGACCGTAAATTCACACCCATACTCATCGCAGGAACCACGACATAAATCTTAGGTGCGCTTTAGCAGTTATATATACAGTTATGTAACTATGTATTTGTTCTTTTACCATTTACCATCAGGCCTCAAATACCTTCATAGCTAGAATTAACCTTGAAATAAGTTTGGACAGCAATAAAATGGCAGAACTGTAAAAGATATGCTAAACAACCTTTTCAATCATGCAACAACAAAACTAGCACAAATAGTTTTTTTAACCCCTTGACACCAAAATTAGGCAAACATGACTCATCTGGTCTGTTGTTGTTGTTTTTTTTTCAATATTTGTGTGACCAAAATACATATTCTACATATAACATCTCCCTCAAAAATAGATTTCCAAACATTCTCATTTTTATATGCCTCATTTAGTTTCTATAAAAATTCTGTTTTTGTGTTATTGCCGCAGGAAGAGTGATTCCCTGTAATCTGGTACTTTTGTCACGTATAGAGGACCACATTTAAACTCTGAGTTGCATTACCATTTAGGGTACACATTATTTTAAACAGAAACTATTTTATGGCACACTTAACATTTTACATGTAACTGTTATTTCTCTATTACAATATTGCTGTTTTACAAAAGATTTACAATTTGATTACAGTTACAGTATGTGAAAATGTATCTAGCCTACTATTACATATAATCAAATTATCCTACTTTTTACAGTAGCTAGCAAACATTAGGTTGTCATATAAGTTGTAGAATATCCAGGATGGGACAAACAAAACACTGGTTCTAGATGCAAATAAACAATCCTACACAATGAACCTCTAATGATAAATGACACATTAACATAACAAACTTCAAATAAAGCTAATATTTATCATCAAACATAACAGAATAACATACTTTTTTGGCCCCTTGGGGGAAGCATAGAGAAGTTATGAACATCATCTTTTAAGTTGATATGGCCAACGTGTTAGAAAACAGTTGCTTATTTACACATCCAGCAGTTATGGAGCAACATTATCATTAACTTTGAGTTCTGGCCACCCAACGAATGTTAAGTTCAGTATTAACTCTCTTTTAGCTCTGTGTTTGCTCTCTACCAACTCCTATGGCTCTTCAGCTGCTAAACACTCCACTGTGTTCACCAGCTAGCCATTAACTGTGTATCTCTGTCATTTGGTGCTGAGCAGGTAACATACAGTGGGGTTTTAGAGTTTTTTCATTGAAAAGAGCTGCCTGTTGTGACTGGTGTTGTCAAAATGAAAGAAAATAAAGAGAAAATAAAAAGAGAGAGTAAAGTTGATCTCTGGAAGTTCATAACTACGAGCAATCCCTCTCACATTGTCTTTTGAAACATTGTTATTATATAGATATTAATTATAGCCACAAAATTAATGTTTCGGTTTATGGTAATGATAATGGTAACACCGATCATTTTTGACCTTTTTACTGTATGAAAAAGTGTGGGTTATGAGGGTTAATATGTCTGCATATATGTTTGTATACCTTTTCCTTAGTAGCATTAGCCAGACATGACCTTCATTGTACAGTATGTAAGAGAAATGACAGCAGTTAAAGTCTATGAAATACTGGCATGACTTGACGTGTGTGTTGTGGTAGCTCACTGGGATTATTTGTGGCGCTTGTTAAATGAGGTTGCGTGATGCACTGGGCTTTCAAGAGTGTGAATATTCTGTGTTTGTCGGTGTGCCCCACTTTTAGTTCCTGTAAAGCTCATACTTTACGCGTGAAGGCGGCAGAAGTTGAGGCCCTCCTGTCACAGTAGGAAAGCGATCTTCAAGCTGGAGCCTCTCACATATCAAAGTGAGCCCATTTAACCCTCTCTCTCCTTCTTCTGTACTCAGCAAAAGCTCAGCTGTAGGACCTATGCTGTGAGCACTTTACACTGTATGTGCAACCGTATCTAAGGAACACAGAAAGTCTTTTGCCTTTTAAAGTCTAATTTTTCAACTTTTTCAACTTTTCCTGCGTCACAAGCTGAAAAAAGACTGAGAATAGATTTTTATTAATCACTGACTGATCAATGATTGATCATTGAATGATAGGGGGAAACGATATCCAAGTTGAATTTTAGTTAGATAAAGGTCAGCACATCAGCAAACTCTTGTTTGTTTATTTTCCCTCAATAAATGATACTCATTCAACTTTTATTACATATTGTCCCTTGATTATCCCCCCTGCAGTGGGTCTATGCTTGCCCCCGAGTAGGAGAACCACTGCAGACAGAAAAATGAGAAGCCGTAAATTAGGTCAAGCGCTAATTTAATTTAAAAATGAAATTCTGTGGATTTTGTTGCTTTCAAATTTATAACAAAGTCAGACTTTTGCCACAGAGGTAAAATTAAAATATGATAAAATATAGTCTTTGCAGGTTTATAGTAATACATTCTTTATTTCACAAAAAGTCACAAGACACTCAACATTCATACATATCATAATTCAATTCAATTTCAATTCAATCAGTTCATAAATATCCAATCTGATGTTATATAACCAACATACAGTATAATAAAGGAGTATCAGACAAAACAGTACACATAAATGAAAAAATATCTTTCAAAAAGCCCTGACGAGTCTAAAAGCAATAAATGTTTTCCTTTTAACAACCTCCACAAACAGAATAGAACCGATGCAAATTTGATTAAAAAAAAATCATTATTAAATAAGAGTTACAGGAATATGTGATATCAGCATATATTAACCACAGTTAACATAAATGTATTAAAACCTGACTGTAGCATTCTCAACACAGATTTGATCAGTTTTAGCTTTAGCAGTTCATTCCGGTCTCTTCAGTATTGTGCATGAGGACTGAATCCCCATCCAGAAACCCGGAAGAATATTTTTCTCAATAGAAGTCTTAATTTTATGCAACAGCTGCACCTCCTGCTCTGCCCCCTCACCAGTAACAACATAAAAGCTTATGATCCCTGCAGGCTGGTCGATGTAAACTCCAATTGTGGAGCATTGCGGGACGCCATTTATGTCTTTGTTCATACCATTGAACCAGATCTGGTAACGCGTTCCTGACCAACACAGACCCCAGGACTCCTCATTTTCTCCGAGACCACTTGGCCCAGAATGTGCCCTCCGTCCTGCTCCTTCATAGGCGGCTCCAATTACCGCCCACCCAGAGTACACCACCTCCCAGTAGGCCCTCATGTTCCAGATAGCCTCTTTGCACACCACCTTTGAAGCAATGTGAATTGTGAAAAACCATTTGTTTCTTTAACTGATAGCCTGTAACTGTATTTGTGTTATTTTCCGACTTACCTGTGGAGAATATTCGTATCTCTCTGGTCTATCCAGGACAGGACAAACCTCCTCAGTTCTACGGCACACCTTAGAGCCGCTGTCAGAAATCCACAACATCTTGTTGGCAGTCTTATCATCCAAAGTCAAGTTCATCCAATCTACAGGAGAAAATCAATGTAAATTTTTTTCAAAACTGTAAAATATTGCATGATCAGATTATTTGAAAAAAATCTGCTCTTACGCTTCATGAGCTCAGCTCTGCTCGTTGGCTCTGGGATGTTCGGCACATAAACGGGAACTTTTTCTGTAAGGAGAGGAAATCAGCTTAAGTACAAACTTCTGCTGGCTGCATAAAGACTATGAATAGGCAAACGCATGTGAGTCCATTACCTCGTTTTGTCATCTCATTCTTGTTGGATTTAACTTTCTTCCCTAAAAAGGTTAAGGCCAAAGGTTAAACTGTGAGGATGTGAAGACTTAGTTTCCTGTTTCACACAAACAACCCACTAACAAACCCTGACATGAAACGCTATACTTGATGAGGAATTTTAGCATTATCATGGCATTAATAAGAAAAATAAAATAGAACATAATACATAGAATAAAAAAGTTGTTCATAAACTTTTGAGACCAATTGTGAGTGAGACTAAAGGTCTTCAAATGACACAATGATTAGTATTGCTGCTATGGGCGAAGGTATAATCATCCCTATGATTCTTCTTATTTGATACTTTTGAGTTGTTCACTCCAATATATTATACTGTACATCTTTTATGGAAACAGTCAAACAAACATGTACTGTAATTAAGGTTTTAAATGACAGAAAACTCTAATTTAATTTTAATTTAATTGCTTATTCCACATAATGAGGGATTTTTGGAGTGCATGTAAACACACTCCAAAATGCAGTGTTTTAAAATACAGCTACCACCATCCAAATAATAGCAGGCAGAGACAACAATGTTAAATAAGAAAAGTTCAGCATCAAACTGTAAAGTAAATTATAGGCAGCTTAAACACTCTGCTGACGCACATATCTGTCAGTAACTGTCTCAACAGATAAACAATTTACTCATTTGAGAGGATACTTATACATAACATGTTTGTTACATTAAAAATGTTTACTTTTTTAACATTAAAATGAATACTTTTTTAATGTAAATAGAATGTACAGAACTTGTTGTACCTGTTTTTTTGGTCTCTGAGAGGACTATTGTAGAATTGGGTCTAGCTGGCATTTTGAGGCTTTGTGTTAATTATCCACGAGCAGAGGCTTCAAAATTCTTTAATTCATCCAAAGGAACGGTGCGAAGTCTTTGGCTTCCACTTGGCTTTTATAACCTCAGTAAAAATGAGGCAAGGGGCCTTTAGGAATGCGTGAAAGACCTTTTGAGGTCAACAGGTGGAACAGTTTCTCAGCCGGGGTCAAGGGGGTGTATGCACTTGACTTTCACATATGGATACATGTGAGGTTGGCGCAGGCATTTGACACCATTGAAACTTTAGGAGTCTGTTCAGAAAAGCAAAAAGGTGGTTGCAAACAGGACTGAAAGTAAGATTCAGAATCTGGTCTTGTCAGTGTTGTCAACACGAGTGGTACAGATGGAAGCAGAATCACACAGAATCACCTCAGTCAAACTCAAAACACCAAGTTGCAGAAGATGATCTATGACCCACATAATCCATCTATTCTTAATTTCTGCACCCAGACTGAAAAGAGCATCAGTATTTGTTTAATAAGAAAATAAGTATGTGTTCAAGTTTAAAAAACAACACAAAAGTAATCATAAATCATGTGGCAACATTTTACTTGTACCAAAATCTGATTTGCTCCACCTCCATAGATGCAAAGGATTCACATGTGTGCAAAAGTGTGTTGTAAATACTGTGTGTTTGCCTTCATTTTTGCCAATTTCAGTATTACATATACTATTTAGGTGGTATATGATGCCACAAGCCCAGCTCCAGGGAATGTAACTGTCAGCTTATAGACCACAGTAAGTCAAACAAACACCTGTTTCCTCTTTTATCAGTAAACTGATAAAGGGAATTCATTGTGCAGCATTTTTACTTTTGCTGTCAATCTCTTATATTAATATTTGGTTTAACAAACCAGGACAAAATGTGTTTTGCTCAGCATTTTATTATTTATTTAAACTTTTGCATATTCAAATTCTGTATACATTCATACCAAAGTAGGTGACCCTATACATTCTTAGCAAACAATAACAACGGAGGAATAAAAATACATATAAATATATCAGTATAGACCTTGAGTGGTTCGGTGGTAGGTGAATCCCAACTGAACTGCTCTTTGTTCCCTTTAATGAAGTGTACTAACCTATGTACTATATATCTGCCTCACATATACTGTATATAAGGAATATATAATGTGCATAGGATTAATGCATGCTTAAGTCATTAGTAAATGTTCAAATGGAAGTCATATGTGACTGTGTTGGTGTCCAGTCATTTTTTGTTTAAGGCTGCCATAACGGTAGCTTCATTACAAAAAGATTAAATAGTTTCACATGATAATATAATGTTGATTCAGTCCTTTATTCCTCATTCTTTATGATCAAACAGTGTGACTGTGGCCCTATCCAGAAACCCGGTATAATTTTCTCCTCAAAGGAGCCATTAATCTGCTGCAAAAGTTGAACCTCCTTCCCTCCAGTGCTCTCTTCTCCCTCCATCACCTCCTCCACAGCATAGAAATTAAGGATACCAGCAGGCTGGTCAAGGTATACACCAATTCTGGAGCACTTAGGAATCCCTGTGATCTCTATACTCTGGCTTTTGTGCCAGGCATTATAGCTGGAACCACTCCACCCAAGACCCCAGGACTCCTCGTTCTCTCCCAGGCCGCAGGACCCGTCGCTGTTCCTCCTTCCTGCTCGTTCGTAGGCGACCCCCACCACGACCCATCCTGAGAACTCTACCTCCCAGTAGCCTCGGAAGCCGAGGATGCCTTCTTTGCAAAGAACCTTTTGGAGCGTGGATGAGATTGACATTGTAATTTAGAGGTAATCTCACATAACCTGTGATTTATTGTGGCTGCCTGCCACTGTGGAGAATTTAAAGCAGCTTTGCTTTCTCCGGTGTGCAATGCCAAACCAGTTGGCTCAGGATTTAAATAAACACAGGGGGACAGCCCTCTGGTTCGTAATACTGCTGCCTGTGTTTTACAATCACATCAAACTCCAGTGGCTGTGGCATGGTGATGACAAGTTCATGGCACTTGAGAAAATATATTTGAAGTACTGCAATTTCATCCAAATTCAAAATAATCAAATGATATCTTTATACTGTACCTGTGGAGCATACTCATATCTCTCTGGTCTATCCAAGACGGGACAAGTGGCATCATCGGTCATACGGGCCACCTTCGCACCACCCTCTGTGATCCACAGCATCTTATTAGCGGTTTTGTCATCCATGGACAGGTTAAACCAGTCTGAATAAACAGAAGGAGATAAAAAAAAAATTGTCACAATGTTAAAGGATAAAATAAAAAGGTAAATAGTAAGAATCTTACGTTTGATGAGATCAGCTCTGCATTTTGGCTCAGGGATATTTGGTTCGTAGGCCGGGATCTTCTCTGAATAAATGAGAGATAAAACAACATCAGTCAAATATCAGACAAGGATAGGAGCTATAGATGGATGTTCGAGCTGCATTTCAGACATTTCAAAGAGACCATAATAAGGTGACTGCCTTACCTGTGTTTCCATTTTTGGCTTTTTTTGCTGCAAAAGATTAAACAAAAATAGGTTTTTCACCTGAGCAACCTATATTAAGGCTGACATACAGTACTTGGCTGTTATAGATACTATAGGCAGCGGTATGTGTCAGGTGTGTCTCAACAGATGATGAAGTGACTGCAAAAACAGAGTATACTTAGAAAACCATCTGCCTCTGTCAGATCATCACATCAGCAACAGCATGCTTTCAGGAGCCAGGGGTTGATTCATGCCAGGCGGTTGGAATGATCCAGACACCTCACATACTGAAGGATACTTTGGTCACTCTAGAGCACAGCGTGAACCTCGGAGCAGTTTATCAGATAAGAAGAGGGGACATGATCTGTGTCCCCAGATCAGATGACTTGAGGATGTAGATCCAGCTTTTGTTTATTGAGGTAAAGTAAAGTCATCCAAAAAGTGATGGATTGCATTTTAAATCTTAACTCAAGTCAAAAGTGTCTGTATTGCAATGGAGCTTTTGTGATGATTATGGACTGTAACACTTGTACTTCCCTAAACTTAATTACACAGGGGACTCTCTTTAATAAAAGATGCTTATAGCAACACAGAAAAAAAATAATTAAACTTCAAATTAAGCTTAATTACAGGGGGCAGTATTCTAACTTTCCTTTAAGTAATAATTGATACATTATAGTTACACAACATGCTTATCCGTAATGCCAATTTTGTAACTAATACTTTGGTATCATGTGTAAGCATTCAGCCTCCAGTATTTTTTTTGTTAAGGATGGAGCTCAAGAAGAGGAGACACTTAATCCCCTCAGGATTAAGATGTCAACGTGTTTTATTTATATCAAGCAACATCGCCTCTAAAATAAACTATCAACTATCATTCACACATTGACATCATTTTACTGTAGAATATTTATGTTATGTTATCTTGTCGAGAAAGAGAAAAAAAAGCAAAAGCAGGCATGAATTTTAGGGAAATGAATTACAGCACAACATAGCAATTTTGTGTGGTGCTGTAAATGTTGAGACAAAGAGTTCAAGGTGAGGCTGCACTCTGCCAGTGCACGTAAATCTCCTTGTCATCATTATCAACATTTTTCAAACTTAACGGTTATTTTTACGCCACGTAGTATGCGTGTCACGCCTAAATGAGCTGATATTTATCTCTGTGTTGACTGGAGGCTAAGAAAGACCGTGTGAGAATGTTAAGCCACCTGTCTGAATATAGCACAAGGTGGTGAAAAACAACTGCTTTGTCTGTTCTCATTACGATCTGACACCATACAAAATATTTAGGCTGAGAGGCAGCCTCAACCCCACTTTGGCAATCTGTACTAGGCTTGTTAGTTAAGATGTGATGGGATTTGAATTAATGTTTTTGATTATGGGTGATTTACTCCTCCCTGCATCTATTTTGATTGTGATATTGCCAAATTAAAGTGTGTAAGGAAGTACATTTTGTATTAATACTACAATCTATTTCATTATAGGCAAGAAGCTGGATTGCTATTATTAAAAAGTTAACAATTATAGATTAGATCTATTCTAAAGACTCTGCAAATCATAGGTCCACATGAGTCTACTACTATTCTCCTTGTTGTCATGATAACACAGTCTATAGAGGCTGACGCCAGAGAGTTCAGGCTAGATTATACTGAATATCCCAACTACAGTCCCGCTCAGTGTAACCTATTGTTAGGAATGACATTATACTGTACATACAGCATGTTAAATACATGCAGCATGTTAAATCTTTTTAATGCAGATGATGTTGACACTGGCAGACACTTGCTCCCAGGCAATAAAACCATTATACGCCCCTCATAACGACAAGCATGAAATCAGCCAGTGAAATATTGTGCTTTTCACGAAGACATAAACTCTAGTGACCCACTCATTCAGGATGTGCCTCGGAGGATAATAAAAAAAAGTCTCACCGCTGCAGACACAGGCTGAGGTTATTAAATCAGTACATTTAAAGCATTGCTAATGATGATTTCTGCATTAAATGCATTAAATCACACTAATGCTGCAAGTCAAAGGTTTAATTTGACAGAAAAGTGGATGAATCTTTAATTTTTTCAAAAATGTAGGTGGATATGTTAAAATGTTTAGATAGAGCGTCGAAAATGTGTTTAAACTAATGATTCTAAGTTGTGTGAAAGGCAGAAAATTAAGTTCACCTTTATCTGAATTCCGGGTGTCAGAAATGATTCTTGTGGTGGTGGGCATCTTGATACCAGCAGTAAGCCTGTCTCAGCCTGATGTCACTGGTCTCTCTGAGTGTGATGAGTCTCTGCTGGCTCTACTGTGTGACAGCTTAATGCCACTCTTATATACTTTTAATGCAGAACGTGGGTGAAGGAATCCTAGGCGGTGACGTGGACATGAGCATGTGATAAAACTTGCCAATAGGGAGGGGTGAGACTTGTAATTGGAGCTGCGCATGTATGTTTTTTTCCTTAAAAAGGTTGGATAGATGCTTCGATGTCTGTAGTAAAACCCGCCCCCTTCTCTATACATCATAACCACTGATCTCTCCACATTGCACAGTGACAGCTATGATGCATCGATGGTGGACGGGTTGATTTGTGCATGCATACACACACGCACAGACGTTTCTGAGTATACAGCTGCACAGCAGTATGAGGTGCAACAGGTGCAAAGTTCACAATTCAAATGTGTAAAAAGTGAATATACAGTCTATAATAGATCTGTATTAATACTTCTCTTTATAAAGCCTGCAAATTCTTCTGACACTGAATATTTAAAATGTAAAAAAAAAAAAAAAGTGTTTTGTGTGTAGGATTTAGTAGCATCTAGTGGTGAAATTAAACAAGAATAAATGAATAGGAATGGGCAGTGAAGTATGTAGGAAAAACTACGGTGGCAGCAAAACTTGCAAAAAACGCGCAAAAGGCTCCCTCTACAGCAGCCAGTGTTTGGTTTGTCCATTCTTAGCTACTGTTGAAACATGGTGGTTCAACAAGGCGGCTGTCGTGGATGGCAACCTGTGACATAGATTAAAACAGCAAATGAATAAAGGTAACAAACACATACATATGAATATTATATTCCATTTCTGTCACTAGATCCTTCTTAATGTTACACACTAGACCTCTAAAAATGTTTTCAAAATATTATTTTTGTCATGTTTTCATTTATACAGCTGTATAAATATAAATAGATTAAGTCAAGTCCATATGAACTTTTATTATAGGTTTAACTTGATTATATAGAAATATCAGGGAAGAAGAAGATTTTTTGTAGTTAAACAACACGGAACAAAACATTTGTTCTTATCAAATCATGACTTTATTACTTCAGTGATGACATTCAAATACACTCTTTGTACATATATAGATACTAAGATACATATATATATATATATATAGATAGATAGATAGATATATAGATATGTATAGATAGATATATCTAGATATGTCACATTTGTTTGTTTTTTCACAATAATGAAAACACAATGAAGGTTAGTAGTTAGTAGTAATTCAGTAATTCAGTCCCTACCCACTTATACAAAATAAAATTCAAATTCTTTTGAAGCAGTTTCAAGAATTGTCTTTGTGCCAATGCTCGAACAAAGTAGCTTCAACAGGAGCAGCTGCAGCTGCAGTTGTTTGTGTGAAAACAAGAACGGATTCATCAAACTGACAAAAAGGTAAAAGGAAATAAAATGTGTGTGTAATGTTTGGGTCTGACTAAACATTTGTTGGTTCAACTTAATATCTTAAGCTTATTGGACGTGCTCTCTCAAGTTCAGTTAACTCTCAATTAGTTTTACAACTCAAATAAGACTTTAAACTAATTACTCAACCTAAGTTCAATTAACTCACATTTTGTAAGGCGGCAAATAAACTTATATATTTAAGTTGAACCAACTCTCAATTATTTACAGTGCATCATCTATAGAACAACATTCAATTTGAATTCAGTGATGAAGAAGCACAGTACAAACAGGAGACTTTCATCATGAGAATATAAGCATTAATAAGTCAATTACATACATGATATTATGTAACAGCTGATAATCATACATTGGAACGTAGGGTATACAAGCTGTAAATACATGTATATAAATACACACGAACAACCTAAATACTTAGACGAGTCACTTGATTAAAAGTTCCTCAGTTCTTCATACCAGGCTTAGCTATGCTCTTGACCTGCATTATCACATCAACCATATACAATTGAATGCCTTAATGCTCACTGCCTGGGTTAAAAGAAAAAGCATGTGGCTGATCGTAAACCCTTTCTTGTGATATGCTCTCCACAGCCGGCTGTGTGTCTGCAGTGTTTACTGTTCTGGCACCATGCCAAAACTTTAGTCAAGGCTGTCTCGTCCTTCTTGTGTTCCTGCCTGCCCAAGCAGATGACTGACTGGGGCGCTGATTGCAGTGCAACTGACATACTAAACACTACATACCAGGAACCGTAGTGTCAGAGCTGTCCCAGACTGCCCAATGGGATTTATTGTAAATAAAGGAGAGGAGAGTGTGGGGGATAGATGTGTACTTATCTGAGTTCCTCTAACTGTCCTCTCATAGGAAGCCCAGAAACCAGAGGCACCACGTGCTTTCAAAACACTGCTGACAGACATGAGATCTGTGCCAAAAGACTGAGCTATGACCCTGTTCAGTGGCTGTTCTGGATGGACAAGGTCATGACTTCAGTTCAGTTTTCAACCTTTCAAGATAATCTATAGGTCTGAATATCTTGCAGTAAGGTGGAACTATACTTTTACAGAATGCAGTTAATGAGGAAAAACACAAAATGTGCAGATGTACTGCTAAATAAACAGGTTAATAGCAGAAAGTCTTGAATGAGAGAAAAAATACATCTCTCATGTGTTCATTCATTTATTATATCTTTACCTAAGTGTTCTTAACACATGCCCAGAATTACCAGAGATGAACTCCACTGAACCAGGTTTCTCCCCATTTCTATAAGGTCTCAGTGCCGTTAAGCTCTGTTTTTCCAATGCTGACGTAACCCCTCTGTTCTGTACAGGATGACCGCATTCCTGTACATGTATCGGTATCAAGAAGTGTGTTTAATTACAAAGAGATGGCAGGATAATTCTGAAAGCACACTCAGATAAATATCGGTCAGCGGGTCATGTGTTGGCACTGACGTGAATATCCTGGTTTGGCAGGCTCTGTGGCATGCCCATTAGTGAGCACATTATCTCTGCATACCTTACCAAAATTTCTCTTAGGGAGCCCCAGGGGCCCCCCAAAACCTTTAATACCCCCTTTTCTGGAGGTATATAAAGGCCCCGTTTGCATCATTGCAGTAGTATGCCGCTGACAGACGCAAACATTCAGGAAACCTAAACGTGGCAGGAAGAAGTGATAAAGATGCCAACCAGTGCTCCCAGTAAGAGAATCATGCCTGCAACCGGCAGACCTGGTGAGTGAACTCCTGGATAATGCATGTTAATATAGAGTACTCTGGTTTCATTAGACTGGAGTACAAATTGGTTAGTGCCACTGTGTTCTTTCTTGAGCCAGAATGAATACCACTGGATGAAGATTTGTCTCTTTTGTTGCGTTTTTTAGAGATTAGAGTAGACTCTTTAACTTTGACCATTTGAACAGTTTCTGTATATTGTTAGTATGCAATTGCATTACTTTTTATTATATTATAATTACAAGCCTCTAATAAGTAGAATTGCTGGAAGTCATGCTTGTTTTATATGAACAGACACAAAATCTGAAGAAGTAGCTTCTCTAATGGATACGATTTTAAAGTAAACCATGGAAAAATATTACTTTCAGTGTTTTAAAGAGCAAGCTGTTAACACACTTAGGCTTACCTCTTAAAAGGGTTAAATGTATTTTTAAAGCGGATCTGCTTTTTCTGTACTGTATCATCTATGGTCTTACATAATGTGTCTTTTCTCGTCAGAAAATATCCCAGACTACGAGCCCAACATCCCTGAGCCCACATGCAGAGCTGATCTTCTAAAACGTAAGAACAATCATTTAAATTTGCAAACTCTCGCTCTCATAATATGTAGTTTCTATTTCTGACTGTCATGGCTACAAATCTTCCACATCACTCAGACTGGATCAACCTTTCCCTGGATGACAAGACAGCCAATAAGATGCTGTGGATCACAGAGGGTGGATCCAAGGTGTCGCGTATGACTGATGATGTCATTTGTCCTGTTCTGGACCGGCTAGAGAGATATGAGCATGCCCCTCAGGTAGGTTTTAAATAACAAATTCAGACATAAAATACTTTTACTGTGCTCAACTAATTTCATCCTCTTTTTTCCTCTTTAAGGTTCTTTGCAAAGAAGGCATCCTGGACTTCCGAGCTTACTGGGAAGTGAAATACTCAGGATGGGTGGTCGTTGGAGTAGCCTATGAAGGGGCGGGAAGGAGGGGAAGCGACGGACCCTGCGGGCTGGGAGAGAATGAAGAGTCCTGGGGTCTTGGGTGGGGTGGGTCCCACTACCAGTTGTGGTTCAACGGCATTAACACAGAAATCTGGGAAATTCCCCAATGCACTACCATCGGGGTATACCTTGACCATCCAGCTGGTGTCATCAATTTCTATGCAGTTGAAGAAGTGAAGGAAGGAGAGGCGAGTGAAGGAACAAAGGAGATCAGGCTGCTGCAGCAGATTAAGAACTCCTTTAAGGGGAGGATGTTGGCAGGTTTCTGGGTTGGACAAAAGTCATCATGTTCCTTAGTTAAACAAGAGGAGTAAAGTAAAGAGTGTGTCTCCTCCATTTCCATTTTCTTACATTTCCATTTAAATTTCATTTTCAATACATAACTAAAACTAAATAAAAAATAAACAAAATATGTTAATCTGCAATGTATATTTTGGTATAATGCAAAAAGAAAAAGAAAACCAGGACTTTTCAAAATCTAAATCTTTGTATATAGAACTACGTATTCATCAACAAGCTGCTATTTGTGTTTGTGTTTTCATTTTGTCAAAACTGAATGTTAAATATTGTTTGGAGGGGTCATATATATGTATATTGTAGCATTGTGGATTGTATATTCTGGTATATTCCATTATATTCTGCATTTCGTAAATCAATAATAGTATTTTGTGTGACTTTATTTAAATAAAATACATTTTAAAGTTTTACTCCCACACACTAAATATCATCAAGTTAAAAGTTGGGAACTATAGTTAATCCTTTAGCCACAGAAAAGGAAAATACCAGCTGTCTTGTACTGTTTTATTTAACTCTAAAGTTGATAGTAAGGATATAAGATTAAATGTATAGTTGCTTACTTTTTGAGTCATAGCACTGTAATTTGTCACTACCTCATGTTTAAATTAAAACTGATTTCATGGGGTGCCAGCTCTATCAGGTGAGCTTCCAGGGCGCCCCATGAAATAAGTTTTAATTTAAACATTAATTAAGGTAGTGACAAATTATGTATGTACCAAGGCTGAGTCCTTGCTGCAGCACCCTTTGCTGCGTGTCATCCCCTCTCTCCCCCTTTCTTGTCTTTCTTCAGCTGTCCTATCTAATAAAGTGACCTATCTAATAAAGCCCCTCCCCACAAAAAAATTATTTAATTTACACTTCACATTAAACTTGTGTAGTTCATTGAACTTCATTGCAATCAATTTCACTCTCAGTTAACTTTTGTATACAGTAAATATGGATACAAAACAGCAGCACCGGCACCAAAAATATAGGGTACTTGGTCATATAGAGATAGGTCTAAAATGATTATATTTGACTACATAGATCGCTGAGAGGCTAACATGAAATTTCCCAACTGACAGCAAAAGGGACATAATTGAACATTTACTAATTCCCAGTGTGAATTGAGTAATTTTCATTGTGAATTTAATTATGGTTGAAGGGGCCTTAAGTTGCCTATCACTGCTTTAGGCTGTCAGCGGTGCAGGGAGAGTTGGCCACTCCAATTGCAACATCCCTTATATTAAAACCCACCAGAGGAGAAAGTAAGTATATCTATATCTGCACTTTCAGAAGCTAATGTGTTTATGAAAAGAGAGTTAAAAAAACAGAACAAGCTTCATATTGATTAACAGCCAGTCAACTTGTCACACTAAATATTCTCAAGAGAAGACAAGATATTTTTTTTTCTTAAAGATGCATTGCTTTGTGTTGTCCTCAGGCAATAAGTCATGATTTATAAATACAAGCTTACAGCATAGGAACATTAATCCATCAATGTCATGTGAAGCATTCAAACTCTACCATACCTTCAGCTGCTCTGGATCTTTCATTCTTCACCTTCCCCTGTTAACACTGAGTGGGGCAGCCAGAGGATTAGGCTGGTGACATGAAAGCAGATCCTGGGAAGCAATAAACAAGATCACTTGTGAGCACACAAATAGGGCCAATGAGGGTGCATGGATAAAGGAGAGTTGATGGAACATAAGACAGAAGATGCAGGACTAAACTCAGTGCTAGGTTCAGTGGTTTTCTTCATAATATTAGAGATCAGTAAGTACAGTTTTCCACAGTCTGGGCATACAGATGAACTGTATAAGGGACATAAAGGAAAAGGAGTGATTAATAATACATTCATATAATACACCATGTCAAGGCTTATGTATATATTACTCATATTAGCTTGTGTGTATTTATTTTTTTTTAAATCACTGTGGTTATCAGAAGGCTTGTGAGCTGTGGATCCAAAATGTTTGTGCAACCACCATCACAGGAGTGTATAAGGCAGAGTGATAAAAAAAATGTTCAAGCATTACTTTGAGCAAAAAAAAAACTTTTGTATATTAACAACAAAACAGCAAAAAAAACCCCAACAACAAAAAAACCCCAGCACAAATGTCAAACTTCTTATTTTTTTTGCAATGCTTCCTACTGTCCCACCAACTGACTCCCAAAATGTATTTATTTACTGTTGTTGACAGGACTGCAATTATAGGTTGAAAGCCTTCTCTGACAGTTTGGTTGAGAGGATCTAAAGTTGTGTTCGTCTCCCCCCACCGACTCTCATCAGTATAACAAGTTGTGCCAAAAGCACTGGATCCCCCTGTGGTTCCCTTAAGGAATTGCGCTTTTTCTCAAAACCAAGGGCAAGCCAGGACTTCCTCACTGTCATTTTAATTTAAAAAATGTAATAGTTTTCTCTGTTACAAAACATAAACTTCTTATGTCGCTGTTGCAGTCTGGAGTTTAATGAAATGAGTGAAACAGCTCCCCTCTGGGTTGTAATGGCTGCTGAATATCAGTCGGTCTGTGTGCTCAAAGATGGCATTACACCTTTACCGAAGTCTAAAGGGAGCAAACGCGAATTAAATATGTGGTCAGCTGTGAGATGACTCTGGGAAAAAAAAGTGAATGCAATAAACAACAGAAAGTCAGCAAATACAGAAGTGTATTGCATTCACTTGAAATTTGTTTTTCGGAGTAATTATTTCTGATTTTCTGACTTTTTTTTTCTTCTGTTTTTCGGACTAATTTTTTTTCTCAGTTTAGAGAGCATTTGAAACAATAGACACATTCATTCCTTTATTGAGAGCTTGATTTAACGGAAACAAACATGACCAGCTTGTTTAGTTCAATCAAGTTTTACTTTGATCTGGGTTTAAGACACTGGGAGATAGTCCTGTCTTTAAGTCATATAGATGGTATTATCATTAGTTTGTCGACTCTACGCAACCACCTGAGGACTTGATAGTTGAAGGTGGGGCATGTATGTGCGGGCAGGAGTCACCATAGGTCCATGGGAGTCACTTGCAGGTTGGAGGTTCTCGCGGGAGTTCGAAGTTTTCAGAAAAACAGAAATAATTACTCCAAAAAACAGGGGCCCCCCCTGTTTTCACCGTACATCAACACATTTTACAATCAAACCTGTTAAACTACAGCAACCCATATTCAGTCACAATGGAACATGGACTCTTCGACAAACCACATTACTATATCATTGTCCCCCACCAGATGTTTTTTTATCCTTTGTCAGTCACATGGCTGAGTATTGGTACAGCGCTCACCTTCAAATTGTCAGTAATGCAGCAAAAGTTGCCTGGGCCATCTCTTATCTCATCTCTGGATACATTTGGATAGTGGAGCAAAATGGACAAACAAAAAGGGGGAAAACCCCATTAAGGTTGTGCTGAAAAGTGAAGAGAGAAGAATCCCTGAGGCTGACACAGCCAAATGTTTTTGTTGCCATTACCAGTCAATAATCTCAACCTAGCAATCCTCAAGGCACTGGCTGTAGAGAGAGACCAGGCTGCCCAGAAATACCAGTTCTATTTTGTTCGTGTTCTGCCCTTTTTTGGGTTTTGTTATTGGTTTACCCTCTGAGGCACCACCTTGGCACCCTGAAAAGGTGATCTTTACACTCACTGCCCAGTCAGAGGGTAGCAGGCACCCAGTGCCCTTCCCCTATTTAACCCCTGCACCCGCACAGCTTGTCTCCCTTTTTCATTCGGCCACTTGGGCAATGTCAACATACGCTTGCCATCAACAGCGGCCAGACCATGTGTGCTGCTAAGGTGGGATAGCTGGCTTCCACGTGTCTTTTTTTCTGCCACTACACCTTTTAACACACAGGTTCTGCCAGGTTAGTGTAACTGACCAGGCTAGCAGGGCAGGGGTTGGGTTCCCTTCTGCCAGTGTTTTTCACACCACTGCACTGCCTGTTGTCCCTGACCGGATAGCACTGTTAGCCAGGCTGTCTACATTGTTAGTCAGTCATACTAGCAGTTAGCCATGTGGTTAGCACAATTAGCCATCCAGCCATACAGACAGCAATCCGATGTGAGGTTACAGACACACACGGCACAGTGAGCACGTGAACAGGAGGGAGGGAGACGTGAGAGAGCGAGAGAACTTACATAGACAGAGACTACTCACTGGAAAGGTGAGGAAAATTAGTGACAGGAAACGTGGTAAAGTTTGGACACATTTTAATGTGATAGACAGTTCAAAGGCAGAGTGTAGACTGTGCAAAGTTAAAATTTCATATCGAGCAGCTTTTTGTCTAATTGAGATGGGTCTTTGTTTTTGTATTTTATAATTTATTTTTGTAGCACTCTGTTCCATGTTGAGTATATTAATAAATCCATATACATAACAAACATTTGATATAATGTATGTATTTACATTATCAATTTGTTTTACACATAATTTGGTAATAAATTAATTTAAGCAACAAAAAATCTGAGGAGCCAGTTGGGAGCTGAAAGAGCCAGCTCTTTGTAGTGAGCCGAGCCAAAAGAACCGGCTCTCTAAAAAGAGCCGGAATTCCCATCACTAACAGGAAGTACATGTGCTTTGTGGTAGGCGGTCAGTGCTGGAAGTTTTGCCGCTTCCTGTTCAGTTGCTGCCTGGCTCCACGTATGTACACCACGTGAGAGGAAGTAGTGTTGGTGCTGCTCAGGTAAAGAGACGTCATGGGGCAAAGGGACAGGTGCTCGAGCACCCTCAGTCTGTGTAGTGTGTTACTTAAGTGATTTTTTCTTTGAATTGAAAATTCAACAGTTATGCAACAATCTACTCAGTTATTTATTATTATTAGTAGTAGCAGAGACAATGAGTAAAATTCTTCCTTAGTAAATTAAATGGGACTTCTTCTTATATCCACAAGATGGAGCCATGGTTTCACACAGGATATAAGGATAGATGTATTGAGGACTACAGCCAGTAAATGTGTTTTTTTTAAACTAGCTTCAACTTTATGTGTACAGCATAGGATTACACTTTCATTCAGCAAAGGTCTGACAAGACCAGATGGTAAGTCAACTTTTAACAGAAAGCGGAAAATGGATTGTTGTTTTAAATCATTTCAGCACTTAGCAAAATATTGGCAGAGAAAATCTAATTAAAATGTTATTAAATGTAGATGTGGGGGAATCTGTCTTTAGTCTTAGCAGGGTGTTCATTATGAATACTTGTAATGTAAACATAACACCATTATAGCTCACTAATTCTAGTGGAAATGTGGTACCATAAGGGAAATATGGCTTGCAGAAAGCATTTACTTGTACAAGGATTCACACAATAAACAATAATAATACAAACATTAAAACAAACAATACAAACAATAAAAAAAATAGATATTTGAAAGCACTGTAATACACAAATCAACCGGATATACCTATATTGCCCACCAGACAGTGCAATAATTGGTCAGGCTTTAGAGAAAATTACCAAGCTGTTGCTGTATACAGGAAAACACTGCTGCTGAATTTCATGTTTAAATTAAGCCATCTAATTGCAGAAGGAATACATAAGACTTTGGTCCCTCTGCGCTGAAGTTTATCTAGTGTGAAGGAGCAGCCAGAGAGTATCAGTTCCTCTGTAAGTCAAAAAAGATTTTGGTCTTTCAGCACATGACTCTCACAGATTTCAGTTATTTGTGTGTTGCCTAGAGCAGTAACCACACTAGGGTTATTCACAAAGCCCCCCCCCCATTCAACAACTGCAATACACACAGCTAAGGCAGTAAAATCTGGCCAAACAAGGTCATAATTTTAGAAGATGTTAAAAGATTTCATTTTCTGTAAGGAAAACAAAAAATGCTGTACTTCCCTGCAAATTATCTCTGTGACTGCCTCTAGAGTTTGCTATCAGTAGAAGTTCCCAGATATTTATAGTTGCCCTCCAA